GTTAGTTCGGATAATCGAGGTTCCACTGAATAATAAAAATAAGTTTATAAATATGTAAACAAATCGCAATGGAAAATTTTGCTATTACAATCTTTTTGACTAAATTTTTAAAAATATCAATTTTTTGTTAAGAACTATATAAAGATCAACTCCAAATATAATTGCTATATTATTCCTAATCTCTTGACATGCAAATATATAAATAATGCAAAACTGCAGTCCACTAACCCAAGAATTGTTAACGCCGGGAGGTAAAATCTTTTTTTACTATATCGTAATAATTCTAGTTTTAGGCTAAAAAAATTAAAAGATCAACTCCAATCCTTTTTTCTGCATTTTTTCTGTAATCTTCACGTCAAAATACATACGTGTACCAATTTTTGGCCTTCTAAATAAAAAACTGTGAGCGATAAGTGGGAAGTTACATGATCATTTTCGTAACCGTTTGAATAGGATTCCAACTAGAAACAGAACGCTAAAAAAAAGGAAAAATAGAATTTTTAATTTATTGATTTTTTTTACCTTTCTTAATATTATTAAAAACATATGTCGTAAGCACATATAAGAATCTGTCATTTAGCTAAACGTCTAGGCAGTTGGCTAACTGGCGCTGCAGACGAATGAGCTACATTATTATGAATAGACGAAAGACTATCTACTCACCTGAAAGGTTCGAGCAATTAGCTATCTGTTTCAGGTCAGGAACATTATACATCAATTAGAATTGTATTTTTGTAGTACAGAAAAAACCTGTAAATAAAGCGTTTCAATATTTCAGTAAATAAAAATTTTATTAAATGTATCATTTTCTTCCATTAGCTTAAAACTGCGTTTGTAGAATAGCTAAATGCAGAGCCAGTTAGCTAATTGCCTAATCTTTTTAGGCGAATAGACAAATAATACTAATAATAAAGCTCGTTCGTCTATTCGGCACCGGTTAGCTACCTGCCTAGGCTGTAACCATGTCAATTCTGACATTCTTTAGATTCCACGACCGTGAAGAGGTGGATGTAAAGCCCCTTTTTTATTAAAAATTGTAAAAACCGAAAGGGTAAATTACTATAATTGTAACAAAAAACAAAATCACAAATCACACGAATGAAGTAAATTCTAATGGTTCCAGTGTAATAAGTCTGAGAGCGTATATTACCTATATTGAGAATTAAAGAAAATAGTCTGCTCTTTTGTTTATTTTATTTTAAGCTCGCTGGACGCAGAGTTTCCAAGACGTGAGACTATAACAAATCCACTTGGTTCTCAGTTCCGGAGTGAGCAGAACCGGAGGCACAACTTGAGGGCGTTTTAAGTCAAGGGACAAGAAACAAAAGCATAAAGAGCTGAAAATTATTTTGGCTTCATAATAAATATTACTGTATATAGTAATGATTGCATTTAAATTGTTCATTTGTACATGACTCCGGAGTCCCAATAACGGCCAGTCCAAAATTAGTTGTTGTCTCACTAAAAATAAGATAGTTGGCGCCAGTAGCACCACACACAACCCGTCAATCAGTCTAATAAATTGGAATAAAACTTTAGCGACAGGGTTGCGCGCCCTACTGAAATAATGTATCCAGCGAGCTAAGGCCGAAGGGCGATCGACGCCTTCCCGGTCTTCACATCTAGAACGTCACGTTGGACAGATCCCTTATAAAAAGGAAATAAAAGTAAAAATAATTTAAAGTAGAAATTCACATAAACGTGAAATAAACGGCTAAACAACAGCGTTCTAATGTGGTTTCTCTTCTTAAATAGAAAAAAAACTAATTGTGCTCTCAGGCCTAGTGACAGATTTGACCTTGTTATTTTCTTTATGATATAATTTATTATATTTTCATTGTTTTATTTTTAAATAAATGTGATTATTTTTTGTTGTTAAAATATTGCTGTATTAAGCTTAAGAATATCGCCTTTATAAATTGTAACTTGAATTCAAAACTTTTTCCTTTTTCTATCAATTCAATATGAGTTATTATTAATTCTGTCAACTATATAATTAAATTCAAATTTAACATTGTTAGTATAAGTAACAGGCTATAAGGCGTTAAGCTAAATGACGGATTCTATTATTTACCTACGACGTATTGTGACAAATTTTATATATATAAAATAATCTTGTAAGAAAATATTCAACATAAGAAATATAAAATTTACTAAAAAAAATCTGTCCGCGCAAGCGCGGACACATTCTCATCCGCGCTTCGCGCGGGGGCTCGCTTCGCTCGCAAGTTTCAGCGCGCCTCGGGGGGCGCGATTATTGATCGTCGCGCTTAAATCAGGGAAGAGTTAATATATCTTTACCTGGTTTTCATTTAGGGCAATGTTCAGAAATTTGTGGAATGGCTCATAGATTTATACCTATTATTATTGAAGGGAGGGGAGTGGAAAATTTTATAGATTATATAGAAGATTTTATTGAAGAATAAAAAATAGTCTAATTTAATTTAATTAAGTAACTTAAGTGTAAAGTAATAATTTTTTAAATTATTTATAGTAATATTTATTAGTACTCTTAATTAATTCCTCAGATAAAGCCAATATATTGATTATTTTTAATAATGTATTTATGGATTTTATGAATTTATTATATAATTTTAATGAGAGGATTTTTTTTAAAAATTTATTTAACAAAAATTAAAAAAGATGAAGTTTTGGTAAGTAAATGAACCGTTAAATGATAACTAATTTATTTAGAGTTTTTGATCCTTCTAGAAGAATTGATTATTCTTTAAATTGAGTAAGGATACTAATATTAAGTTTATTTATTCCTCAATTATATTGAGTTTTATCAAGAAAATATTGTATAGTATGAAAATTAATTTTAATGGGGGTAGTTAATGAAATTAAAATTTCTTTAATTAATTTTAATAAATTAAATGTTTTATTATTTATATTTTTATTTACTTTTATTATACTTAATAATTTTGTGAGTCTATTCCCTTATATTTTTTCTAGAACAAGGCATATTTGTATTACAGTTACAGTATCTTTAATAATTTGAGTAAGAATAATAATTTTTGGGTGGGTTAATTTTTTTAATCATATGTTGGTTCATTTAACTCCTCAAGGAACACCAGATGTTTTAATACCTTTTATAGTAATGATTGAATTTATTAGGAATATTATTCGTCCTTTAACTTTATCAGTTCGTTTATCTGCTAATATTATTGCCGGTCATCTTTTAATTACTTTAATAAGGCAGTCACATGAAATTTTAGGGATTATGGTATTTTTATTGGTTTTGATTCAATGTATTTTAATAGTGTTAGAAGTTGCTGTTTCTTTCATTCAGTCTTATGTTTATTCTATTCTAAGAGTTTTATATTCTTCAGAAACTAATTATGAAAATATTACATAATTTAATTTTTCATTTAGTAACGGTGAGACCTTGACCTATTTTAAGATCATTTAGAGTTATGAGAACTATAATTAGCGTCGAGACAAAATTTTCTACAGACAGACAAACAGACAGACAGACAGACAGACAGACAGACACTTTGCTAAAAACCATTTTTTTTTTGGAATCAGTGAGTCATGAAACGTAAAGATTTTGCAAAATTAGAAATTTCTGAAAATCGCACAAATCCAAGACTTTTTCATTTTTGATGAGAATGTAATGAGAATGTAATAAGAAAAAATAAGAAAAAACTTACATTTCAAATTCCGAATATGGAAATTCTGGCACTATAATCTTCTCCCCGACACTATTTTCCATCATGATTTTTCTTTTTTTTTTTTAAATAATTATTTACAATTTACAGCAGTAATTTTAACTTGAAATTGGGAGAAAATGGGGAGCTTCACTTTTGCGTCCTACCTTCAAATTGAACTGAAGAATACTGAAAGTATTTTTCAAAATTGACAGTATATATTTTGATTCTAAAGCCAACTACAAGGACAAAGATAACGACAATGATGCCAACAAGGATTTATTTTCTGAGAACATTGCCCAATGTTATTCAAAACATACAGGGAATAGAGAAAGAAGAAAAAAAAAAAAAGATAAATAGAGAAAGAAAAAAAAAAGAGAGATAGGGAGAGAAAGAGAGAGAGAGAGAGAGAAATTGATAAAGGTGAAAATTAACTTTTTCTCATTAGACACATCATTCAAAATAATAATAATAATAATAATAATAATAATAATAATAATAATAATAATAATAATAATGATGATATTAAACAATCAGAGATACTTACTTTATGGGTTCCAACCCCTCAATCTCCCCCGGCCGGGGCAAAATATTAAAGGATAAACAAAAAAAAAACACGAAGAACATTGTAATTTTCATTCAATCACATAATTCTCTATAATACATATATTTATTAATATTAAAAAATAATGATATTAATTATTTTTAATCAAATTGTTGACATAATCCAAAAAAAAAGAAAAATTTCAAACATTACATTAAAAAATAAAAGCTACTTACATTCTTTTCCTTTCAAAGTTGAATATTAAAATAAAATGCTTATGATTGTGATTTACCAATCAACGTCAAAATCAATTAGCAGAAAGAAATTGAATAAAAAATCAATAAATAGAGAAATAAATAGAGGGAATAATATCCTTTAGTAAATAATAATAAAGACAAATACAGAATGGAAATAAAAACCAAAATAAAACACAAAACCTTATTTATTAATTCAATATAATGTCATATTTTAATTCTTTCAATTATTAAATAAAATAAAATTTCAAAAAATATTATAAACACTATTGTATTTAATAAATTTAATGAATTCTCAATTTACTATTATATTATCAATATTAGATAAATTATGAGAAATACATTTTACAAAAGAAAAAAAAAAAATTGAGAGGGCTAGAAACGAAACATTCGTGGTTAATTTAAATAAAAAACTAGTTTTCTATTTCATTTACAAATAAACATTTATTAACACTACTTATCTTACATATAAAAATTATTATCATTATTTAAAAAAAAAAAAAAAAAAAATTACAAATCAAAAAAGTAAACATGATTCTTCATTCATCCTCTTCATTCATCCTCTTCATCATCCTCATCCTCATCAACATAATCCTCATCCTTCTCATCATCATAATCCACATCCTCATCCTCTTCATCATCCACATCCTCATCCTCTTCATCATCCTCCTCTTCATCCACATAATCCTCCTCATCCTCTTCATCATCCTCATCCTCATCCTCTTCATCATCCTCATAATCCTCATCCTTCTCATCATCCACATCCTCATCCTCATCCTCTTCATCATCCACATCCTCATCCTCTTCATCATCCTCCTCTTCATCCACATAATCCTCCTCATCCTCTTCATCATCCTCATCCTCATCCTCTTCATCATCCTCCTCTTCATCCACATAATCCTCCTCATCCTCTTCATCATCCTCATCCTCATCCTCCTCTTCATCCACATAATCCTCATCCTTCTCATCATCATCATCCACATCCTCATCCTCTTCATCATCCACATCCTCATCCTCTTCATCATCCTCATCCTTCTCATCCTTCTCATCCTCATAATCGTCATCCTCATCCTTCTCATCATTGTCATCCTCATAATCGTCATCCTCATCATCATCCTTCTCATCATTTACTAATTCTAATTTTAAATGCCCATGACGATTATGCATTTTGAGGTATTTTTTATTATCAATAATAATTATTTCCTTTTTCTTTGATTTCATCCGTTCATTTTCACAATTATTAGCAACTTCACACAACCATTCATCATCTTCATCATTCATAACATTGACATTCACACGCGATTCATCCTTGACATCATTCGCTCCATCAACATTCACACATGATTCATCATTCACATCATTACCAACTTGACACAACCATTCATCATCTTCATCATTCATTATATTGACATTCACACGCGATTCATCCTCAACATCATTCGCTCCATCAACATTCACACACGATTCATCCTTGACATCATTCGCTCCATCAACATTCACACATGATTCATCATTCACATCATTACCAACTTGACACAACCATTCATCATCTTCATCATTCATTACATTAACATTCACACACGATTCATCCTTAACATCTTTCGCTCCTTCAACATTCACACAAGATTCATCATTCACATCATCATCTATACTTAATCTACAATATTTTTTTACAATTTTATTTACATTTATCGCCGTCTTTGTTGTTCCTCTTAAATCTTCTTCTTCTTCTTCTTCTTCTTTCTTCGTTTTTTTCTTTAAACTATTATTCTCATTCCTTGGACACTGCCGGTTTAATGTAGATAAAAGTTTTTCAATTTTCTTCCTTCTTTTTTTGGTTTTCTCGTCATTTTTCGTTTCATGTCCTTCATCCTCTTCCTCAGATGTGGACAGCAGTAAAGTGAGAAATCCCAACTTTTCCTCATCATCATGATTCTCATCCTCATTAAAATTTGAATTTTTTTTGGAATTATCCATTTTTTTTTGGTTTGTTTATTGTAATAATAATCACTGAAACACAATAAAAAATTTAACATTATTAAACTATTTTCTTTAAACAAACACACACACACATAGACACATGTTTACAACAATAAAAAGAATTGTAATGATTTTTAATTTCTTAATTAAAGTATTTTACATAAATCTAAACACACAAAATAGAACATTTCTCATTTACTCGAATGAAAAAAAAGAGGAAGAAAAAATAAAATTTAATATAAAAGATTATTTAATTGAATACAAACAAAAAATTGATTAATATTTTCGAAAAAGAATTATTTAAGAAACAGAAAAAAATCAGTTTTAATTCAATTCCTTAAATTGTATTCATTTAAGCTTTTCTTTTTCATCTTTTGAATAAGATTATAGACACACAATATAAAGAAAAACACACGCACCACGTTTGACTGCCAAAACTGTTGTGAGAAGAAAATATTTTGAAAACCCATATCATCAACAGCATGAGAAAGAATCGAAATGTATATATACACACTAATATACTTGTATATACAGTCATGGGTGTACATATTAAAGGGTTTTATATTCTACTGAAAAAATTAAGACGAAAAGTCCTTTTGCACTTTTTAAAAATGTTTAGCAGTTTTTTCGTGAATTGCAATTGAAAAATTTAAAAACAACGCATTGCAATTGGCCGCGTAAGCTGAATGATCAGGTAGGCGGGGGGTACTTTTCCACCGTTTTCAGGCCTGGGCTTGATCATTGAGCTTACGCGGCCAATTGAAATGCGTTGTTTTTAAATTTTTCAATTGCAATTCACGAAAAAACTGCTAAACATTTTTAAAAAGTGCAAAAGGACTTTTTTTTTATCTTAATTTCTGCAGTAGAATATAAAACCCTTTAATATGTACACCCATGACTAGGTCACTTTATATATATATATATATATCTGTGTTTTTATCTTTATAAATTTGAGAATAAAAATTTATAAATTTACCATTATTTTTCATATTTCTCCAAAAATTGAAAATTATTATCTCAAATCACATTCTTCTTCTTCTTCTTCTTTTTTCTTCGTCTTATTTTTTTCACTTTTTTAAATATTTACAATAATTTTATTTCACTATTTTAAATGTTTTAAAAATCAGTGGCAAAGTAAAAATTTTGTTTCAAAAAATAATTATTAAACATTATTATCATCATTACACCATTATCATTCTCAACAATAATTAAAATATATCAACAGAGTCGATAAATTATCATCAGCAACATAGGACACTATTAGAATTTCTTACATAAGGTAATTGTAATAATTGATGTTGTTGTGTTTGTGTGTTGTTGGTGATGGTAACTTATCATCATCATCATCATCATCATTATCAACAACTGTAATACCATATATCAACACAGTCGATAAATTATCTTCATCAGCAACACGCAAACACACTTTTGAATAAATACTATGAGGTATTTGTGTGTGCGAGTGATTGATGGTAACTTGTCATCATTAGATTATTAAGATTTACAAAGAAAAAAATTGTATGAAAAAAATAAGAGAGGCAACACAGTAGGTAGAATTAGTAACGCACGCCTACTCACGCAATAAATACCAAATACATACATACATACATACATCCATACATCCATACATCCATACATACATCCATACATCCGTACATACATCCATACATACATCAAAAAGATGCGTTTGAAAGTCACTGTGTAAATAAATATAGATGGCTCTGCACATCAATCAAACAACCACCCAGATTTCTTAAAGGGGATTCAATTTTTGCCATTGATGGTTGTCGCAATTGTCATGTTTCCCCCTTAAGAAATCTGGGGGTTTAGGTTTGGTCAATCTAACTTCATAGTTGCAATTGGTGCAGAGCCATTTATATTTATTTATTTCATTGAACAAGGCAGTCTCAATGGCTTGTTCGACAGTCGCTTTCAAGCGCAACTTCTTTTTTTTTAATTTTTGATTGATGTCATCCAAATATTGCATGAAATGATCCCCATGTTGATGGAAATTGTCCACATTTGATGGATGTGTGGCATATACCAAAATGTGAATCATTTCATGCAATAAAGTTTGCTTGATCCTCCTCACATTCCAGTTTTTCTTCTCTTCGATGTAATGGTGCTTGAGACTTATTGACACTCTGTGGGTTCTCGTGTCCGTAACACCGCACCATTTTCTAAGATCGGTGTACGCAAACGTGAAACCCACACGTCTCAATTTTGAATCAAACAACATTACATCGAACTTACAAAACAACTTGAATAAATCAGGTCTACCAGCTTCAGGATATGTCTTCTGATCCCTGGCTTTATTCAAAATTGGATTTTTTAATGGCTCTGGTGGCCCACTAGAACGTGTCTGACGCCGTTCACTCATCATGACAAACTCACAACAATCAGAGAACAAAGTTGTTATCCAGTGAGGTAAGAGACAAGAGAAGAGGCTCAAGAAGAAAATGCAAATGAAGAAGTGAAAAAAAGCGATAGCACCAGTTTATAAATGTACTATTACTGTAGCCACTAGGAATATACGTAGAGTGTGACACTTTACGTTTTTAGTAATCCCGAGGAAAATTGAGGTTAGGCATCGTCTGCTGTCAACAACACGTAAAGCATGCGCAGTGATATCTCTTTATATTTGCTAGTTATCAAATATTTATGTTAGGTTGGTAACAGTGCTATAGTAGCATGGAAGGTGGGAGGAACTATGCGAGAATCTTCTACCTCCCCTCTTTTCTCGCACTAGTGCGTCTAAAACCGCACTTTAGTCGAGTTTTTGACGTAAGGTGTTATAGAAAATAAAGTTCAATTATTATATTTTCCAAATCATTTAACTAAATTAAATTTCGTTAATTATTTATATTTATAAAAATAAATTAAAAACAAATTGTCAACATATGTTTTCTTTTGACGCGCGAGTATTATTGTGTGACATTTATGAATGAAACACCAATTATTGTGCGACTATTATTGCAGAAAATCAAGTGCCACATAACGAGCTGGTTATCAAAAAAAAATTATATCTTTAGTATGCGTTGCGCAGTTAAACTATTTAAAAATCGCAATAATACTAACATGCATTACAAATTTTGCTACTAACACACTTTTAAGTATTTTTTCGTGTAGAAAATTTCATTTTACCGTGTTGATGATAGGCAATTGATAAGTGAGTTTTTGCATCATCTTTCAATTGAGAGTTGAATGAAAAAATTCCATTAATAATTTTCCGTTATAATTAAATTATTAATCGAATTTTTTATTTTTTTCTCTACTCTCATTTTTGATGGTATTTTTTCGTGTAGAAATTTTCATTTTACCGTGTTGATGATAGGCAATTGATAAGTGAGTTTTTGCATCATCTTTCAATTGAGAGTTGAATGAAAAAATTCCATTAATAATTTTCCGCTATAATTAAATTATTAATCGAATTTTTTATTTTTTTCTCTACTCTCATTTTTGATGGTATTTTTTCGTGTAGAAATTTTCATTTTACCGTGTTGATGATAGGCAATTGATAAGTGAGTTTTTGCATCATCTTTCAATTGAGAGTTGAATGAAAAAATTCCATTAATAATTTTCCGTTATAATTAAATTATTAATCGAATTTTTTATTTTTTTCTCTACTCTCATTTTTGATGGTATTTTTTCGTGTAGAAATTTTCATTTTACCGTGTTGATGATAGGCAATTGATAAGTGAGTTTTTGCATCATCTTTCAATTGAGAGTTGAATGAAAAAATTCCATTAATAATTTGCCGAGATAATTAATTTCTGAATCGGCTTTATTTTAATTCAACTTTGAAAGTAGTTGGATTCACGATCGCGTATTCTAATTTGCGCGCGAGTTGTGGGATGACCGACATTTTCTATTATACGTATTTTCTATTATAATAATTATTGCATGTTTGTTTACAAATTAAAAAATTCTTTAAAAAAAAATCCTTCACACTTTTTTATTTACTTTGAATTTGGTTTTTTTTTGAGGCGGGGGGTTCCACCCACCCAACCCCTCCGGCCAGGGGCGAAAGCACCATTTTGCGTTGGCCGCGTTACACGTGTTCTGTCAATATCTTCCATTATTGTTTTGGCAGTTGACAATCACGTTTCAGACAATTCATTCAATATAATGTCATATTTTAATTTTTTAAATTATTAAAGAAAATAACATTTCAAATAATATTATAAACAAAAGTAATATTAATTTTCCATATATTCATATAATTAAATTTTATATTTAATCCACCATTCTGTTTTATCAAAATTCCATTTTTATAATTTATCTATTAATTTTCTTCTTCTTCTTCTTCTTCTTATTATTATTTTACTTCTTATTATTTTAGTGAAATAGAAGAATCTTTTCAAAATCCTTAGTGTGTTTACCTTTTTTTTCAGATTCAAACACATTCATAATCAGACACCAACACTTTTAATTATAAACACACATACACACACACACACATACTTATAAACCCTCTTTAATTTCAAATTGGAAACCCCATCATAACAATAACAACGACGACGACGACAACGACAAGAATCATAAACATCTCATGATGATAATTGACTTTGGTTCCCCTCCTTTTCAATAATAAATAGTTGTTTTTGTTATTTACCTCATTTTTAACAATTTCATTCTCGCTTTCTTCTGAAGTAGTCAGAAGTAGTGATAAAAATCCTAAATCTTTATTTTCTTCAGACTTTTTGGCATCCGTTTTTTTCAATTTAAATTGAAATTTTGTACGATTCTGAAAAAAATGTGGAAAAAATTATTTATAAATTGATTTTGTTATTAAAAAAAAATGCTGTTAAATGTAATGCAATGGAACTATGGTGAGCAATTTTCATTGCAGAATGTGACAGAAGCAATCAGCTCCTACCAACATTATAATGATGTTGTTTTGGGAAATTTGCGGAGGTTGTCGAATTATTCATTCTCGAGAATATATAAAAAAATAATAAATTTAGGTTTGATTGAATAGGAGATGGAGAGAGAAAATAAAGTTTTTTTTAAATTTATTAATTAAAAAAAATTGGGTTTTATTTCGGATAATAATTATTCTCATACTCCCTATCATTTTCAATTCTTCCTCTTTTTCCCATTCTTCTAGTGCCTCTTCCCTCATTTTCATCATCTCCTCATCCTCATTTTGTAAAGATTTTAAAATTGCAATATGATCATTATCATTAATGATCATTGATTTTTTTGATTCTTTAACCCTCCGTCACACACATGGGAAAAATTACGACTTTACACACGTTTAGAGGGAATCCCTCACCACATTGTAACATAAGCAACATTACAATATAAACAAAGGAATCAACAAAAATTTAGTTTTAACACAAACTTACAAATATGTAGTAAATTATTCTAAATTATAAAATTAATTTTCGGTCTCAAAAATAAAAATTAATTACACGAATGCACATCTTCGAAGGAATTCCACTTGACATGTAAAAATAATGTAACATTAACAAATAAGCAAAAAAATCATTAAACAATTCATTTTAATTATATTTATAATATAATTTTGTCATTAACCAACAGTGGAACAAAAAATGTTTTGAAAACTTGATTTTTTTATTTAACATAACCTCACTTTTTCGAGTTTTTTCTAGCTTTGAAGCTTCATAATTAAATATTAATTATGTTTAAACTAAATGTTTTTTTAGAAATGTGTTGAGGAGTAAATTTTCGAAAGGTATAGAAACTGATTATATTTTGCAATGAGGAAAACAAAAGTTATTTAAAAAATACTGAAACCGTAGAGGGAATCCCTCCCTAGGTGTGTGACGGAGGGTTAATAACAAGCATAATTCCTGAAGAGAGAAAAAAATAGGATGAAAAATTGAAGAAAAATCTGAAACAAAATTGAAATTTATAATTAAAAATATATGCATAAATAGGATAAAAAAGAAAATAACAATAATAATAATAATAACTACATTTCAAAATTTAATATGCCAAACAAAGATGGGTTTTAATAAAAATAGAAAAGAAAAAAAGACATTAACCTCTTTAATCTTTATTCAATTGATTAGAGAGTTTTTGAATCATCAACGCTGCATGCCTCATTTCATTCATAGCTATGACACGAAAAAACCCAGTGACAAATGCTACTTAATTATATATCAATGCATTTAAAGATAAAAAATAACGCATGAGTGAGAGTAACTTGTGTATAAATTTTAGTGTTACACATCCGAAAGTACGTCATTTAAATTAATTATAAAAGTATAAATGATATATGTTTCAAGTGACATAAATATTTCATATTAGAGCATGAATGTGTGCAATTAAAAAAAAGTAAATAAAAAGAATAAACAGTTTTGCATTATTAAAGAATGTATAACAAAACTGATGACAAAAAACCACAAAAAAACAAAAAAAAAGAAAAATCAAGAAAAGAATTGCAAAGGATGATTTTTAAAAATCGTATCGCGCTTTCTTAGTATATATTATAAGTAAGGACACAAATGTTTATGTACATAATATATAGCAAATTAAGTTTAAACTATTGCAAAATATAAAAACTATTTATTTGTGATAATTCCATCTTTAATAAAACTTTGTATCTCAATCTAATTCTTTATTAGCTTCATTATTTTTCATTACTAAAAAATAATGAATTGCGTACGTATAGGCTTACTGCGCGCGCGAAAGAGTATAGAAAGCGCGATGCAATTATTTTAACAAGAAATTGCGCAACAATTAGCAACGAAACTCTACAACCCTATACAAAAAAATTGTTTTCAGTTAATTTCACACCATAAAATGTTTTATATTTGTGTTATTAGTTTAGCATTAATTTTTTACATTATTAAATATTACAGAATGCTTTGTTCAATGATGATGATGATAAATAATGTGTGTGAAAAAATTGAAAAACAAAATTATTATAATCGTATAATAACATTATAGTCGAAAATGTAATATATTTCGCAATTAACTGTTTAAAATTATTTTGTATAATTCCGGTAGAACTGCTACTACACATTAATATGAGTAATATTATTACAATTATTATTATCATTTATTATTTTATTAATCGTATATTATAATTTTTTATTATTATTATTATTTTTATTATTAGTAATGTGGGAGCGAGCGACACAAGTTTTTATCTTGACGATAAAAATTATAGTTCATCGCAAGGCCTAAAAAGTTGTAAAAAAAAATTTTTCAGTTAAATTCAAAAGTGATTAATACAGTTATATTAGTTGATAAAAATTCTACACTACATTATATTATATAAAAAAGACGATGAAATCGGATTTTCTAAAAAATGTCAACGTGTTATTCAGAGAGAAATTACTCGCATAGTAATAGAGTGATTTTCAGATTGATATGAAAAGACGGTTAACAATAAAGAAACGATGTAAAAAAATAATGTGTGTGTATGTAAGTCTTTAAAATTTCGCGCGCTCTGTATACGAAATTGTAAAAAAAGTGGATAAGCGCAAATTAAGAATCTTGCGTCGGCAAAACTGGAATTTTGTAATTCAATAACCACTATCTTGTTTCTCTAAATATAACATTCAATTAAAAACGACTGCTACAATCCATCACCTCAACATGTGTTTAATTATGTAAAAGCATGTTTGTACAAGAAAAAGAATTTTTTAAAATTTTTGTTATCTGTTTCAATGGTATATTACATGCGCTTAACAAAATAAAAATTTCTTTCTTATTATCTCTATTAATTAAAAGAAAATTTAATTTTAATTAAACATTACTTAAAAAAATAAAACGTGAAAAAAAGAATAAACATAATTTTACTTTTTCCACATAATTATAATGAATTACATTATCATTACTATCACAAGTATCAGTGAGTTGTTGTTGTTGTTCTTCTTTCTTTCTTATTTCTTCAATTACCCTCCTCGTTTCCTCTGGTATTAATGTTGCTGTTAATGATAATGATGATGATGATAAAGAAGAGGAGGATGAGGAGGAGGAGGCTGTTGTTATTGTTGTTGTTGTTGATGATGAGTTGATGCTGCTGCTGCTGCATTTGTCGTTAATTAATTTTTCCTTTTCTGATGATGATGATGATGACAGCGATGACAGCGATGACAGCGATGATGATGATGATGATTTTCTTATTGATCTCTGAGATTGTGGAGGGAAATTGAGTTCGATGCCATCCGGCAATAGAATTGTTGCAGCCCGATACCACGATTGCAGATTGTCATGGCATGTTTGTAACTCATTTGCAGTCATTTTTTTGAATAATTCACTGTTGAAAAAAATCAATTAATATTATTATTATTATTGAAAAAATAAAAATTTACTTTTTTTTTAAAAAAAGTAAATTTTTATTTTATTTTTATATATTTTAAAATTTAATCAATACATTGGAATCAATTGATTCTTTTTTTTTTATTAAAATATTACAAAAATGAGAATAATAATGACACAAATATAATACAAATATATACACATATATATGTATATATAAGAAAAGAGTTTTTTATACATTTCTTTTATTCCCCCCCCCCCCCCAAAATTAATGTTGTATATTTTTTTCTTTTTTTTTCTATAGTAATGATATAATAATAAATAAAAAAATTAAAAAAAAAAAAAAAAAAGAAGAGCGATTAAATAATTAATTTGGAAATTGTCATTGACAAAAAAAAACTTACATTTCGAATTGCGAATATGGAAATTCTGGCACTATAATTTTCTCCTCCATATTATTCTCCATACTCATTTTTGTTTTTTTAAATAATTATAATTTAATTTTTCACCACAATTAGGAAAACATATTCTCATATGTAAGTATACTTGTGAATTTTAATTATATTAATTTTTAAAAATTTTTTAATAAAATTTTTTTTGTTACAGTCATTTTTGATGCCATTTTTCATGTTGAAAATGTCATTTTGGCATGTTGATGATACATAATTCATAAGTCAGTTTTTGCGTCATCTTTCGATTAAGAGTTGAATGAAAAAATTCCATTAATAATTTGCCGAGATAATTAATTTCTGAATCGGCTTTATTTTAATTCAACTTTGAAAGTAGTTGGATTCACGATCGCGTATTCTAATTTGCGCGCGAGTTGTGGGATGACCGACATTTTCTATTATACGTATTTTCTATTATAGTAATTATTGCATGTTTGTTTACAAATTAAAAAATTCTTTAAAAAAAAATCCTTCACACTTTTTTATTTACTTTGAATTTGGTTTTTTTTTTGAGGCGGGGGGTTCCACCCACCCAACCCCTCCGGCCAGGGGCGAAAGCACCATTTTGCGTTGGCCGCGTTACACGTGTTCTGTCAATATCTTCCATTATTGTTTTGGCAGTTGACAATCACGTTTCAGACAATTAATTCAATATAATGTCATATTTTAATTTTTTAAATTATTAAAGAAAATAACATTTCAAATAATATTATAAACAAAAGTAATATTAATTTTCCATATATTCATATAATTAAATTTTATATTTAATCCACCATTCTGTTTTATCAAAATTCCATTTTTATAATTTATCTATTAATTTTCTTTTTCTTCTTCTTCTTCTTCTTCTTCTTCTTATTATTCTACTTCTTATTATTTTAGTGAAATAGAAGAATCTTTTCAAAATCCTTAGTGTGTTTACCTTTTTTTTCAGATTCAAACACATTCATAATCAGACACCAACACTTTTAATCATAAACACACATACACACACACACACACATACTTATAAACCCTCTTTAATTTCAAATTGGAAACCCCATCATAACAATAACAACGACGACGACGACAACGACAAGAATCATAAACATCTCAGTTTCAAATTGACCATAGAAGAGAACACAACGTAAGTAAAAATTTTTATTCACTATTATAAATTGTCTTTTTTTTCCTTTATTTTGCTATTTATTAAAAATAATGATTTATTTTGTAATATTACTATACATATATAGAGATTAAATATGTTTACATTTAAGAAAAAATCAAATTTTCAATTTTAATATTACAAATTAAATAATTATTTTTAAAATATGCGTGTTTGTTTTTAATATAATATAATTCTTTAATTTTAAATATACAAAAATTTTGTTTTAGATCTTTCTGAATCTTCAATCATTCTTTGGTTTTCTTTTTATTCAATTAAACAATAATGGAGAATTCAAATGGTTATCAGGAGATGGACCAAATGTTGGAATTTGCTGAAATGGATGAAGAAAATGAAATGAGATTGAGGCAAGAGGGGTTTAATGAAGAGGAGGAAATGATAATGAGAATGGAGGAAGAGATGGATGAGGAGATGAATTATTTAAGTGATGTCGAAGATGATGATTATGATAATGGTGATTTAATTGATGAGTATTATAAGGAGGAAGAGAAAGAGATTAAAATGAAGGAAGATGCTGTACAGCGATATGAGGAGGATGTTTTAATTAAAAAATTAAATGAAATGGAGGAGATTGTTAATGAGGAGGAGAAGGAGGAGGTGGAGATTAATATTTAATAAATGTATTAAAATTATTGTGTTTTGGTTTTTCAAATAAAATTATTAATAGTGTATATTAAAAAAGAGACGTGTCTCGTGTTTAATTTTACTGTTTATTTCTTTTATGTATTTGTGTGCGTCTCCACATTTTTTTTTAATTAATAGTATTGTATTATTTTTAAATAATAATAGTCTCTTAGTTTATATATAAATATTTATTGAAAACTTTTCATTGTTTTTTTAAAAAAGTTTTTTATTAACTTTTTAATTTTTTACGTTTGATTTGCATTGCCTTTTTGTTTTACCACATTTTTTTATTTTTTGCTGATTGTGAAAAATCATCATTTCTATATTCAACTTGAAGCAGATTTGAATGTAAGTAAAAATTTATATACTCTCATAAATTGTGTCATTTTTTCTTTCTTTTGCTATTTATTAAAAACTAATAATCCTATCGTTTAATAATTTTAAAACTTTAATTTTGCTTTAGTATTTTCAAATTTCAATTCTTTAACTATAGCTTCATCTCCCATACCATTTTTTAGATTTTTTTTCTTTTTTTTTTTTGAAAAATTATGCCTCCTTAAAACCTTAAATCTTTAATAACTACTGTTGGTAATTATGCAAAAATGAGAAGGCTTGGTGGCCAAAATGCTAAATTGCCATTTCGCTAAACCACACACAGAAAAACTGTTTTACCGACTGAGTGTTCCGAACATAACCTCTTACTGTGTAAAATTTTAATTTAGTAAAATGGCAATTTAGCATTTTGGCCACCAAGCGACTCGCGCATAGATAGATTGCATGTTCAGTCTTGTTTTACCCGCGCTTGTGAACGGTCGCGTAAAATAGAAATATTCTCTTAAAAATAATAATATAAAAAAGTGTTTTTCTTTAATAGTGTTTTTTTTAAGCTTGAAGTTCCTTTTTTGCTAGTGTTAATTGTGGTAATGTGTATTGTGATTTCAGTATAATTATAGTTTGTTTTTAAATAATGTTTTTAGCAATTTTAAACATTTTTGCTTGAAGTGAACGATAGTGTTTTTAATTTTACGGGAGTATTAGATCTGAAAGTGCGTATTTTTTCTTTTTTTTAAATTCGAAACGCATTTTAGAGAAACAATTTCCGTCATTTGTTATTTTCTTTACTATATGTTTATGTGAATAATTAATTTATTTTAAACTTTCAATTCATAGAGATTAATTCAGTTTTATTTATTTTACAAGTGCTTTTTTTTGTGTAAATGTGCGTGTTTGACTTTTTTAAATTGAAAAGGAATTTAGAATAATGGAGATGGGTTAAAGGCTGAGAGACTAAGAACTGTAAGTTTAAACAATTTTCTTTTTCTTCAACTACATTACTACTGGCAGTTGATAATTGCGTTAATAAAATACTATATAATTAAGGCGTATAACAGGCATGACAGAAAAACTCTTTTCTCAATGCAAATTGTACAAACAAATAAATGTTTGTCTGGTTTTGAATGTACATTTTTTGTCTTCTTATTTTATGAAAAAAATTAGATTTTCTTATACTCCGCAAACAAATATGGCAAATTTTCTCTTTTCCCGATAAAATTATAATTTTTTTCTAAGAAATTTCAAATTTTTGTCGATATTTTCACAATTTTTGCAAGCAAGTTTAAATTCTCGGTGCGAAAATACCTACATAACATGCATTTTATTTTTTTAACAAATGTTCTTTGTGAATTTGATTTTTTGCTACCGCAACAACAAAAAAATGCCAAATTTTATAATTTTTCGATAATTTAATTTCTTTTTCAATAATTATTATAATTTTTTAATTTTCCTTAAACTTTGTTAGAAAGCTTTATTTTTCGGTTCGAATATAGCTGTATACATTTTAATTGTTTATAAAAATAAATTTGCTTCTAAATTAGACATTTTATTTGAAACATTTACGAAAAAATGTCTAAGTTTCTCATTTTTACACAACTTTATTTCTCTTTTAGTTTTTACATTTTTTGGCTGATTTTTTCAAATTTTTGCAAAATAGTTGAAGACTGCATTTATTTTGAATAAACTTTCTTTAGTGTATCTAAAAAAATATACAATTAATATCTAAATCTTGCCAAATAAAAGAGGGTCTCTATTTGGCCAGTCACAATAAACAGTTTTTAATATTTCAATGTACAGACAAGCTAACGTTTAGATAAATTAAAAAAAGTTTTTAAAAAAACAACTAAATATGAAAATGAAGTGGAGACAATTTAACAAAAGAAATACAAGACTACTGAAAATTGCCCGGGTGTTTAATTTGTACATTACAAAAAAATAAAATTATCAAATTTTTACAGTAAAATTGTTGTTTTATATCAATAAATACAATATATTTTGATAATACATGAATTTTTTATTTGTTTAAACAAATTATTGTTACTTACCAATTCTTTACAGAATGCACCTAGAAAGTTGCATTTTTCTTCCTTAATTTTGCAATTTGCTAAACTCTATATGATTACAGATAAAGAATAAAAAATGAATTATTTTTTAAACAAATTATTGTTGATATTTACCAACTTTTTACGGAATGCACTTAGAAAGTTGCAATTTTTTCCTAATTTTGCAATTTACTAAACCTTATATGTTATGATTACAGATTACAATTTATAAACAAATTATTAATTTGTTTAAACAATGTTTAAATAATAATTCAATTTTTATTCTTTATTTGCAATATGCATAAAATCATGATTTGAATACAGTATTCGTATTAACTTACAATTATATGGAAAAACTTTGATGAATTTAAATCGTTTTTATAGAAAACAAAAATAAAAAAGACTTTGGTCACCCCGGTTGACCGCATCGGAGCCCGCGTTATAAAAAATTGTTGGTAGTGCGCAGGTTAATATTTTTTCAGCGAAAAAAGCTGCATACTACATTTTGTAAAAGAGATATTTTAACATGGAAACGAAAAATTATAAAATTTTCTCATTTCTTGATAATTTTATTGCCTTTCTAAAAGTATATTTTCTTTTTTTTTATTTTCTCTCGCACGCATGGTGCGTAAAGGAAAGATGTAAAAATTTTATTTTCTTTCGTTTCTACTAATTACAGAAACTAATTACAGAAACAATTAAAATTGCAATTTTAAATTTTGCAAAAGAATTCAATTATCTAAAAATTAGTTGATAAAATTCTTTATGAGAATTTATTTTTAAGAAGCAATCAATTATTTATTTTTGTATTTAAATAATTGAATTCTCGTAGAATTTTCAAATCAAAACTGATTTGAAAATTTTTTTTTTAAATTTTAGATAATAATTGAATATTAATAGCATTGCAGCATGAATTTTTAGAAAAAATAGAATTTTGAAATGGTTTCAAATTAAAAACCTTAAAAAATCAGAATTTTTCGTACTTTTCAACTAACAATTCTGTAGAATAATTATTGTTTTTAAAAGTTCTCGTGGAAATTGTAATTATTATCTTTTCAAATATGTAATAGAATTCTTCGCAAAATTGTTTTCAAAACTTTTAATAAAATTATTGTCAAAATTTCAATTATCTTTAAAAATAATAAAATTCTTCTCCAAAATTTAATTATTTTCGAAAATTTTAATAAAATTCTTGTCAAAATTTCAATTTTTTATAAAAATTTTCCTCAATTCAATGATTTTTAATAGGCATCTACTATTTTAATAAAATTTTTCAAAAGACTTCAATTACAAAAAAAAATTTAATAAAATTTTAATTATTTTCACAAAATAATTAAAATTTTACAGAAATTTTATTATTTAAAAGTTTTTTTTATAAATTTCTTCGCAGTCATTCAATTATTTTCATAAATAATAAAATTTTTACAGGGATTCAATTATTTTGGTAAATAATAAATTTCTTATTGGGAATTCAATTATTTTGATGAATAATACAACTCATTGCAGAATTTTTATTATTTTTAATCGAATTTCTCAAAAAATGTCATTATTCTTAAAAATTTAATTAAAATTCGTCAAAAGAATTCAATTATTTAAAAATTGATTAATAAAATTCTTTATGAGAATTTAATTTTAAGAAACATGCAATTATTCAATAAATTGTTTTTTGGTATTTAAATAATTGAATTCTAGTAGAATTTCCTTATAAAAATTGATTTAAAAATGGATTTCTGTTAAAATTTTAGGTTATAATTGAATATTAAAAAAGCATTAGAGCGTACATTTTTAGAAATAATTGAATTTTGAAAAGGTTTCAAATTGAAATCTTTGAAAATTTGAGTTTTTCATATTTTTAACTAACAATTTTGTGGAATACATTTTTTTGAGAAACTTTAATTGGGGATTTTTTTAATATTATTCGAAGTTTTTATTTTCTAATATATATTTAATTGAAGAATTTACGAATAATAGAAATTTCGAAAAATTGAATATTGTAAACAAATTGAATTTGAAAATTGTCAAAGAACTTTTTCGAAAATTATTCAAAATAATCGATTTTAAGAAGAATTTTTGTTAAAAATTCTTGAAAATAATAATTGAATTAACAATAATTTTATCACTCTATCATCTTTAATTATTATAAAACATGAAGAAATCGATTTATAGTTATGGCAATTTTAATTTATAGTTTTAAGTAAAATGTTCTCTTATTTGACTCGGACTGGTTATATTTTTGTCAGTAATTGGGCCGTAATTTTTTATTTTTGGTCCGTAAAGTATGTATTTTTAAATACTTTCACTGGTTCAAGCCCTGGTGTTTATTCACTTTGAACAAAGATGCATAATTATTAATTCTTTTTTTTTTAAACTGCTATTGTTTTTGAACTCTTTGGTTTTCTTAATTATTTTGTAATATACTTTTTAAAAATTGACTTTAAACCAATTAAAAAAGAGCTATGTATGTTAAGTGTTCAATTTGTTTTTTTTCAGTGCACATGGCAGTTTAAAAAAAGGAGAAAGGACACGAGGAAATATATGTGGAGAAGAAAAGTGGTCCCTGCACACTGCCGTGTATATATTAAATTCTTTTCTGTCTAGGCTATTTTTTTTTATTTT